CACACACACACACACACACACACACACACACACACACACACACACACACACACACACACACACACACACAATAACTATAGGTAATGATTATAAGAGTCACACCCTTTGCATTTACACCTGGAATTTGTATGTGCTGTCATTAATTATGGGTCAACAACAGATCCAAAGTTTAGTCAGGTCAAATAATTCCTGGTGTTCCATTCATATTTCATATACCTTCAAGCAAGGAGCATTCAAAACAGCATATCAATATCAATGTATGCTTAACAAGTTATATCCCATGTAGAAAAATTGTTTGGCCCAAATTTGGCCCTAATCCATCACAACGCACATCCAGCCCACATACTGCATCATGATGGAATGGATGAATAATAGTGTAGGAAAGAGAGAAGGTGAACGAAGGGCAACTATACTGTAAAAACATAGAAAAACACAAATATGCCATAGCAATACCACATGTCAACTGAAGGTGACACAGGAATTTGTTTTGTGCTAGATCGGCCATGTTTACCATTTACTACATGGGCAACTAGAGGTTCACATCCAGATTACACCTCAGCTAGAGTGCGACATGTTTGCCGAAAAAGGCCCACATTTGTTATTATATTTTGGGATACTTGGGCCACATTTGCTATTTTATAACTTCTGGCCCACATCCACAAGAAGGCCAGAGGTGCGGTATCATTACCCGGAGTGGCCCACATCCGTATTTCACACTACTTGACGTGCGAGCACAAGCGACCACAGATACAGATCAGTACATATGTACATAGAAAAATGAATCTTTGCATGCGTGATCACATTTGCTCTGAGGAAGTTACTCTGTTAAAGAAAACAAGGGTGGAAGCTGTAGCTTGTTTCCCTTTCATTTCATTTTCAAACAGTCTTTTGTGTTTGTAGGAACAGAAATATGACAAGTTCACAGTAAACTGTGGCTGGAGCCATTTGCTGAAGTTCAGTGAAATATTTAATGAGACCAGTACTATCTTATGAATGCTGCAGAGGTCTGATCACCTTCTGTGTAGTTACACCTCATGTTTATCTTTTTATATAAGATGCATGGGCAGAGGTGAATCATCACTTTTCTAACAAGTAAAAACCAGAACAACAGAATGTCCATCATATAATTGAAGGATTAATAGACTGGAATTCATTGTTCATGTTTTGTATCCTTCCCTCGTATCTTGGCACCGAGGAAACAGGTGAAACATATGTGTCTGTCTTAATTCAGGCTCTCAGGCTATCACAATGTAAAACATCGACTGTCATGTGACTGAAAATGGTTGTGCATTTATTTTTTCTTCAGGAGTTATTAGTTAACCTGCTAGTAACCTGGTAGTTCCTCCAGAAAAAGGCAGGTTAATGTGAATTTCTTTCTTTTTGAAACTAGTTTTTACTGTGGAAAACCACTTTTCATGAATTCCAGTTAACACATAGTGGAAGTGTGGTGTACAAAAAAAGGATCACATTCATGTTTCAACAGGATCATCAAGTGTCACATGTCAACATGAGCATTCATCATGAAAAGAGACCCCAGAATCTGTGGAAACCTCCACCCGTGAGAAAAGTCCCCCATAGTACAAGATCGGGTGAGGGTAACCCTTGTTGGCTTATGGTGAACTAAATCATATACTATACTATAACATAAACACACACATATATATGTATATATATATATATATATATATATATATATACACTCCAGTATATTTCTGTCATGGTGTTAAGTTATAATAACAGGAATGTAATACAGATTATTTTAAAAACATTTTTTTAGTAAAATCTGTTCCATTAAAAATTGGCACATATTACAAAAATAAAATATAACCTGCCGCAGCCTACCAGAACTCAGCAGCAGGTTTCAAACTCTGCTGACTTCTCTTTTTGCCAGTATTATGTTTGGTGAGGAATGGTTGCTGGCACAGGAGTTCCCATGTAAGTGGATACAGGGCTTTTCACTGTGCAGCCCATTGAAAGAGACCCAACCGACAGCCCCGGAACAGAAAACAAGGCCTGGTGTATCACGTATCGCCATCAACGAGGAATGATACGTTAGACTTTGCCAAGTGCACAGCTGGATTTTTTCACTGTGAATCTAAATCCTGCAAGTCCACTGACTTTGATGTGTTGCCTAAAGATCAATAAAGAATATTAAGGCAAAGGAAAGTTGAGCATAAGGTGACACACACACACATACATCGTCATTTGTAGCAATAATTTTTAGCAGACGGCAAACTATAACCTTTTCCCTGACCTTAACCATGACCAAGTCATGCCTAACTCTAACCTTCACTGAACCACAATTCACATCTTAGGCCTGAATTCAAACATGACCTCAGAAATGACGTGTTACCTCGATAGGACCAGGCTTTAGTCAGTGTTTTTGCTGAAAAGGTCCTAAAGAGATCACACTCACTCACAAACACATTCACCATAACCATAACCCCCGTATGCTAACTCGAAATCTTATTCTAAATTTAATCATCACAACTAAACGCCTTACCCTTAGTGATGTGTGCTTGCCCATGCCTTGACTCTGTCGCTCCACTCATAATTATATGGTCTTGGTCTGCATGGGCATAGTGATAGATTCTTGCCCCCTAACCGAACCGAACCTAACCTAACCTAACCTAATCTAACCTAACCTAACCTAACCTAACCTAATCTAACCTAAACTAACCTAACCTAACCTAACCTAA